AGCGGTGTTCCAGCTGCATAACTAGCAGTGCTCCAGGTACATAGCTAGCAGTGTTCCCTTGGTTGATGCTAAACAAGTGTGAGGACAAAGTCACTCAAACTGCAGTCTTCCCTGTACAGAAGTTACCTGCTGTTCATAGAAAAAGGACATTAAGACGAGTTTATGCATATGGAAACTGTAAGAGCAACAGAAGGCCTTGTAAGCTCAACTGTAATGAATGATTCTAGGTAGTGAGATGCAAGACGCTAGAAAATGTGCCATTAGAAGACTAGGAAGTGGGAGCTGCTCAACCATAGCCCGCCTTTCCTCTGATGTTCTGTGAACAAGAGGAAAGAAATATCCGTTTTCTTTCTGTACATTTTATGGTACTTTGTGGGTGGCAAATAACAATATTAATAATTAGTGAAAAGCAAAACAAAATTAAATAGCATCTCAAAATGTAGTTTTTTAAAGATACTCAAAACTGCTATATTTATAGGCATAAAAACAAAACTGCTATTCATACCTTCCATATTCTTCAGTCCAGTTGTACATATTTTTGGTAAGTTTAATCCATTCCTCAGGGTTGAATACAATCTCTGAAGGAACCAATTTGTCACAAGACCCCCACGGCCAAAGTGAATAGTTCTTTTTCCAGGTTGGATCACCTTCATGAATTCCTATGCAAACAAATGTTTCTTTTCTATTAAAAACAGAAAAATGTATGATGTATTTTTAATTTGAAGTTCTACATGCGAAATAAATATAACTTCAGAAAGAACTGATTTTAGAGGTCTCTTTATTCAATCAAAAATCATAAATCAGGGATTAGGGGCAAGATGGCTGCTGAGTAACAGCTTCCTTCCAACTGGACACTCGATGAGTCTGGGGGAAAGGAGACTTCAGGCATCTCTGGCTGGTAGGATCGGCCCAGAAACATCCCTTTGGAGACACAGGGAGTCAGGGAGGGACTTCTGGACACCATAAGGAGGACAAAGCAGTGGAGAACTGGCAAGCGTTTGCGTGTTCATTCAGTCTAATCCTACCGACAGCTGTAAGTGCAGCAGCAGTGAGACTGCAATCTGCAAAGGCCTTACCTGTGAGCTGTTTGGGTTTTTTTTTGGGGGGGGGGACTTGGCACTCAGTTGAACTACATTGGGAGAATTTGGGCAAGAGAGTAGAGGACTTTAACCATTGTCTAGGGCCCAGACTGAGCCCCTGAGTCAGACAGAGCTAAGAGTGTTCTGTTGTGGGCCTCGTGGAGCCATTGTGGGAGAACTGGCCCGGCAAGCCCCGCCCTCAGGGTTGTAGAGCAAGGATGGGGGGTGGGGGAGCAAGTAATCTAGTAACTGAGCAGCCTAAAGGTGGGGACTGAGAAGCCTTGCAGCCTTGGCCCTCAGGAGCATAGTGTGAGATGGTTTGGGCACACTGGGTAAGTGGATAGTCACTTCAGGAGTGATCCGAGCGACAAGTGCCTTCCTGGGAAAGCTTCTGCTTAGCCCCGTTGGCAGTTTAAAGTGTCTTTTGAGCGGGCCGAGGAGAGATTTAGGCTCTCCACCCTGTGGGGTTTAAGAAACCAGCAGAGGCCTCCAGTCTCCATCATGTACAGCCCTATCAGCATTGTCATTAACATCTTATACTGCAGAAGATCACCTTCTTGCCCAGACAATATTTAGCAAAATATATATACTGCTTTGGTTTTTTTGTTTGTTCTTTTGTTTTTGTTTATTTTGTTTAATTTCAACATTTTCCCTGAACATTTTTCTTTTCTCTTGTTTCTTCATTTTTCTAGTTTAATTTTCCATTGAGACCTTTTTTAACAATTAGAACTTCATTTCTGCTAGTGTTTCTACCCCTATTATTTTGTTTTTGGCCAATTTATATTCCGTAAAGTTTTCTGATCACTTGTTTTGGTTTGATTTATAGCATTTTTGTCTTTCCTTTCTACTTGGTGGAGGTGGAGTACTGTGTCCAAACAGTCTAGCAAAGAGCTGCTGATCTCAAGGGAACCACCCACCCACCCCAGATGTTGGGGGTTTTTAAGGTTGGGTCAAAGTACCCTACTGTACACCTATATAGCTCCTGTCTCCCTCTTTCTGTGCCTCTCCTCTTTTTGTTAATATCCTCTTTTTACTCACTGCCCTCTCCTTTCTCTTTTGTCTTTCCTTTTTTTTTTTTTTTTTTTTTTTTTTTCTCTTCCCACTCTTCAATCTTCTCATCCTTCTGGTCCTGTACCAAAAGGACTCATTGAAACCCTAGTCCAGAGGCACAGCAACTTAAAGAGCAAGAGAAAGTGAAAGGAAAATTAGGGCAAGGAAGTAGAAATGACTCATGAGGAAAAACCAGCAGAACGATCCTGGCAACATGAAAAACCAGTCCAGAGCAACCCCCTCTAAGTGACTGTGAGGTAGCTACTGCAAAGGATTCCACCTATTAAGAAATGTTAGAAATGACAGAAAGGGAATTTAGAATACAGATGATGAAAGCAATGAAGAAAATGATGGGAACAATGAAGGAAACTGCTGATAAAGTGGAAAATAACCAAAGGGAAATCCGAAAACAATGGAGATAAACAATATGAAGAATATGGAAAGGATATAGCAGAACTGAAGGAACTGAAGCAGTCAATTAAGGAACTTAAAGATGGAATAATAAGCATCAACAACAGATTAGACCATGCAGAAGAAAGATTCTCAGAGGTAGAGGACAAAGCTCTTGAGATATCTCAGATAGTTAAAGAGGCAGAAAAGAAGAGAGAGAAAGCACAACATTCACTGACAGAATTATGGGATTTTATGAAGCATTCAAACATACAAGTTAATAGGTATCCCAGAAGGGGAAGAAGAATGTCCCAGGGGAATGGAAGCCATACTTGAGAATATTATAAATGAAAATTTCCCAAATATCACCAAAGATTCTGACACACTCCTTTCAGAGGGATATCAGACCCCAGGTTGCCTCAACTCTAACCAAACTTCTCCAAGACACATTGTGATGAACCTGTTCAAAGTCAAGACAAAAGAAAAGATCCTTCAAGCTGCCAGGAGTAAGTGCCAATTGACCTACAGGGGCAAATCCATCAGGGTGACTGCAGACTTCTCTAATGAAACTTTTCAAGCCAGAAGACAATGGTCATCTACCTTTAATCTACTTAAACAGAACAATTTCCAGCCCAGAATTCTATATCCTGCTAAGCTAAGCTTTAAAATTGAAAACTGACAGAGAAATCAAATCATTTACTGATATACAAACATTGAGGAAATTCACCACAATAAGACCAGCTCTACAGGAAATACTTCAACCCGTACTACACACTGACCATCACAATGGACCAAGAGCGAAGTAAGAACTCAGAAATTACAGAACAGAACTTAACTTCCACCATGATGCAAAAGATAAAACTAAGCAATGGACTCTCACAAAATAAGATAAATAGAACACTACCACACTTATCATTCTCCAAAATTGATCATATCTTAGGACACAAAATAAACCTTAACAGAATCAAAAGAATTGAAACTTTACCTTGTATCTTCTCAGACCACAAGACACTAAAGGTGGAACTCAACTCCAACAAAAACATTCAACCCCACACAAAGGCATGAAAATTAAACAACCTTCTGTTGAATGACATTTGGGTGCAGGAAGAAATAAAAGAGGAAATCATTAACTTCCTTGAGCACAACAGCAATGAACACACAAGATACCAAAACCTGTGGGATACTGCAAAAGCAGTTCTGAGAGGAAAATTTATCGCTTTAGATGCCTACATTCAAAAAACAGAAAGAGGGTGCATCAACAAACTCACAAGCCATCTTAAGGAACTGGAAAAAGAAGAACAGTCTAAGCCTAAACCCAGCAGAAGAAAAAAAATATCCAAAATTAAATCAGAGATCAATGAAATTGAAAACAAAAGAATCATTCAGAAAATTAATGAAACAAGGACTTGGGTTTTTTTTGAAAAAATAAATAAACCTTTGGCTAGACTAACTAGAAATAGAAAAGTAAAATCTCTAGTAACCTCAATCAAAAATGATAAAGGGGAAATAACAACTGATGCCACAGAAATACAAGAGATCATCTCTGAATACTACCAGAAACTCTATGTTCTGAAATTTGACAATGTGAAGGAAAATGGATCAATATTTGGAATCACACCCTCTCCCTAGACTTAGCCAGGAAGAAATAGAGCTCCTGAACAGACCAATTTCAAGCACTGAAATTAAAGAAACAATAAAAAAATCTTCCAACAAAAAAATGCCCTGGTCCAGATGACTTCACACTAGAGTTCTATCAAACCTTCAAAGAAGAGCTTAATCCCGTACTCCAGAAATTATTCCAAAAATGGAGGAGGAAGGAATCTTCCCCAACATGTTCTATGAAGCAAACATCACCCTGATACAAAAACCAGGAAAAGACCCACCTAAAAAAGAGAATTTCAGACCAATTTCACTAATGAATATAAATGCAAAAATTCCCAACAAAATCTTAGCCAACAGATTACAGCTTATCATCAAAGAAGTCATACATCATAATCAAGTAGGTTTCATCCCAGGGATGCAAGGCTGGTTTAACAAACACAAGTCCATAAATGTTATCTACTCTATTAACAGAAGCAAAAACAAAGACTATATGATCCTCTCAATAGATGCAGAAAAAGCATTTGATAAAATCCAGCATCCTTTTCTAATTAGAACACTGCAGAGTATAGGCATAAGCGACATATTTCTGAAACTGATTGAAGCTATCTATGACAAATCCACAGCTCATATTTTACTGAATGGAGTAAAACTGAAAGCTTTTCCTCTCTGAACTGGAACCAGACAAGGTTGTCCTTTGTCACCATTACTATTCAACATAGTGCTGGAAGTTCTAGCCAATACAATTAGGCAAGATAAGAAAATAAAGGGCATCCAAATGGGAGCAGAGGAGGTCAAACTCTCCCTTTTTGCTGACGATATGATCTTTTATTTAGAGAACCTCAAAGACTCAACCACAAGACTCCTGGAAGTCATCAAAAAATACAGTAATGTCTTAGGATATAAAATCAATGTCCACAAGTCAGTAGCCTTTGTATACGTCAATAACAGCCAAGATGAGAGGCTAATTAAGGACACAACACCCTTCACCATAGCTTCAAAGAAAATGAAATACCTAGGAATATACCCAACAAAAGAGGTGAAGGACCTCTATAAAGAAAATTATAAAACCCTAAGAAAGGAAACAGCAGAGGATATTAACAAATGGAAGAACATACCATGCTCACAGCTGGGAAGAATCAACATTGTTAAAATGTCTATACTTTCCAAAGCAATCCACAGGTTCAATGTCATCCCTATTAAAATACCAACATCATACTTTCAAGATTTGGAAAAAATGATTCTGCATTTTGTATGGAACCCCCCACCCCCCCCAAAAAAAAACCCATTTAGCTAAGGCAGTTCTTAGTCATAAAAACAAAGCTGGAGGCATCACCATACCAGATTTTAGGGTGTACTATAAGGCCACAGTGGTCAAGATAGCATAGTACTGGCACAAAAATAGAGACATAGACATTTGGAATTGAATAGAAAACCAGGAAATGAAACTAACATCTTACAACCACCTAATCTTTGATAAACCAAATAAGTACATACCTTGGGGAAAGGACTCCTATTCAATAAATGGTGCTGGGAGAACCGGATATCCACATGTAAAAGACTG